CAGACCGACGCCGTCCAGTCGCCGGGCGTGGCGAGGGTTGATTAGCGTTAATTTGTTGCAGACTGTGAGTGATTGTTCCGAACCGTGCATTTCCCTGTTTACAAGACTTTCAAGTCGTTGGCCACTTCGATAAAGCCAGGTCCCTGGCTTGACTCGGACTCTTCCACTCGACTTGGACTTATTCACCCACTGGTGTTGTCATTTTGACGGCAGCTTCGTGGGATCCGAGTTTAGTTACATTTATCGTCGTAGAGCTCCCAGAAAAGCTCAGAGCGCGATGTGTGTGAGTGAGTGTGTGTATGCGCGCGCGCGCCCACCCCTTTCTCGTATGTTGGGCATTATGCAAACCTGGGTCGATTTGCATCATGTGTTTGTTTCTGGCGGTATTCCCGTTGGTAACACGGAACCGGTGTCAGAGAGAGGTCAGAGGGACAAGCGGGACAAATCTTCACACTCTAGTTCGAGTCGCAAAACCCCAAAGGAAAGAAAGGACTTCCCGACAAGACCATCATGTATAGGCCGCCGGGGCCGCCGTTGCAGACGCCGCTGCTGGGGATATACCCAAACGGGATGCATGCCGCCGGGGACCCCGATGACGCTCACCTCGCACTTGTTTTTATTGCAGCCCCGACAGCGCAGACGCCACCATTGTATTGCCATCTACTTTGTCTTATTTTTGTCTTCTACTCTGCCTTATTTTCGCGTCGTCCGTTTCGACACGGCCATTGTCCGTGACCGGGCCGAGTCACTATCGGCTTGCACCGCGCGGTGCACACCGAGACACAAAGAAAGCCTCCCTCCCCACACCCTCCTCCCGCGGAGTCGTTCTGCTGTATTGATTACATTGCAGTGTCATCTGGATCGGGTGATCCGGCGGTGCGGGCTGCGCGTCACAAGTTGTTCTGGTCCATGGTAAAAAATTACCTGCTCGAGCAGGGCTACATTCTTGTAGTGGCACTCTCTAGTCCTTTCAATGTTGACAGTAAACTATTCAATCAATCAATCAATCAATCAATCAATCAATCAATCAATCAATCAATCAATCAATCAATCAATCAGTCAATCAATCAATCAATCAATCAATCAATCAATCAATCAATCATGGTCTTCCATAGTGCGTGCTCGTGCTTCCCCGCGGGGCGGGACCGACAGGCGCAACAAGGATTGTGGATAGTGTGCATGGTGTAGGGGTACGAAATATAAAATCCCCTCGGTGAGGTTCAGGACCGACTGAATAAAATGCACCTATCCGCGGGGGGCGAGCGACCCTCCCCGCTACACCCTCGATTTGAAGGGAGGGTAGGAGCAGTCCCCACCCACCCCTGTCAGTCCTAGAACGCCGCCTGAGGGATAGGCCATTCACTTTACAAAAACCCCTGTATGTAGGCAACCCGCAGCACTTCGCCCCTACTGTCCGCCGCCGGACCTACAACCGCGCCTGCGGGGCGGGGAAGCGGGAAGCGGCGGTGGGGGTGGGG